ACGCCGGACCCCCTTCGCGTTTCGGGGCATCGAACCGGTGCGTCTCACCATGTTCCCCCCCCTCTCCCCCCCCCGCAGTGTAGAGGGGGTCCGGCGTTCTGGGAACACCGGACCCCCTTCGCGCTTCGGGGGAGCGAGGGGTGCGCAGGCTTGGTGTTGTGGCCATCGAGGGGATGGGACGGACCACCTTCGTCCACCACAGCACAAAGGGGGTTCAGCGTTCCGGGAACGCTGGACCCCGTTCATGCTATGCCCATCGTCGGATCGGATCTCGGACCCCTGTCCTCCCCCGCGGCACAAAGGGGGTTCGGCGTTCCCGTCCTCCCCCACCGCACAAAGGGGGTCCGACGTTCCGGGAACGCCGGACCCCCTTTGTGCTGTGGCCATCGAGGGGAGGGGACAGACCCACTTCTTCCCCCGCATCTCAAAGGGGGTCCGGCGTTCCCGAAACACCGGACCAACTTGGTGTTGTTGCCAGCGACGGGGAGGTAGGGGCCCCCTTACTCTCTTGCAGCACCGACATGAAACGCCGCGGGGTGCTGCTAGAGGGAGGGGGAGGGAAGGACATGAAACGCCGCGGGGTTCCGTCGACGATGCGACGAGGGAGGGGTCCGGCCGACCACTGTGCCGACAGGCACGCTGGTGGGGTCTGCTATTTTGGGGACGCCAAACCCGCACACACAACGGTCGTGAGGTCCGGCGTTCCAGGAACGCCGGACCCGCTGCGTGGGGCGGTGGCGAAACTCCCGTGCCGCGACGGATGCTTCTTCATGTCACTTAGTGTTGTTTTCTTATTGTCTTTTTTTGTGCGACCCGTCATGAAAAACAGCGTCTGGCTCCGCCCCCGAAAAACGGTACGGCAGGTCTAAGCTCTACCACGACAAACCATGGGCTCTTGATTGGGTAGGTGGCCTTCATATGCCGGGTTGCGGAGCCGTTGTCTTTTTGAGCGATGACAATGGCCTGAGTTGGTACTGTTGCGGAGGCGTGGAGAAATCGGAAGCGGGGAGGTTTACCTACGACGGGAGGAAGTTCAGGACCTTCTTCCTTACGTCTGTCTATGACAGAGAGGGGAAAACTGGGTCAAGGAAGACAAGAAGGTGTCTCTTGACCATCGACTCTTCCAAGTGTACGGGGTCAAGGCTTTGTCGATGAAAGCGTTTGACGTGCGCGGGAACGGATCGGAGTTCCAAATGCTGGATCCGGAAAAGTTTCTTTCCAAAACCAATGGCTACCGCCTGACTGGTTCCCTGCATCTCGTCGACAATGCTTTCATGCTCAGCAGACCTTTCGTCCAATTCAACAGCCCGACGGACCAACTCGCAGCTTTTGTTATGCGATACAGGGAAGAGTTCACGAGGCTGCCTGCTGCCCAGCAAGTTGACCGTGTTTTCGTGCCGATTAACGTTGGACCCGGTCTTCGTCGGCTGCGGGGTCCAAACGGCGCCAAGATCAGCCGGCCAGAGCGGGTGGAAAGAGGAAGCAATTGCTGACTGCCTCGTCTTCGTCGGCTGCGGTTGTTCAGGCTCTGCCCGCTCCGGTTCCGCCCTCGCATCGGCAAGGTCGCGATGCGGCTGAGCAGTCCAGCGAGGCCACAGACTACGACGACGGAGCTGTGTGCTATCGGGCTGGTCCACAGAATCGTTCCCGGGGAGGTGCAAGTGCCTTCGATGACGAGGAATGCGAGGGCCAAGATGGGGAGGGCGGTGGTTGGGATGGGGAGGGTGGTGGTGAGGAAGGGGAGGGCGGTGGTGAGGAGGAGGAGGGCGGTGGTGAGGCAGACGACGGTAACGAAGGAGATGCTGAAGGTGAGGACGATGGCATGGACGAGGAGAGAGACGATGTTGGTGAGGAAGTCGAAGACAATCGCTCCTCCCAATTTCACCGTGGMYACCACAACGAATCGCAGGGGCGTCGTGAAGACGACGCCTGCCACGTCGGTGACGCGGTCGATGGTGGTGGCCAGCCTGCAGCCTCCCGTGGAATGTCGCAGTCCTATGACCAGACGAAGGATGGGAGAGACGAACCTGGCTCACGGGGAAAGCGAAAGAGGGGAGAGGCGACGACCTCTCCTGCGAGTCGAACAAAACAGGCGAGGGCCGACGCCGTCAATGAAGCTCACGGAGCATTGACGGCATCACAGGAAGCGCGGGCTCCTCGGAAAACTGGTGGGAGGGGGCGAAGTGGCAGCCGCGAGGGCGGTCGTGGCGGCGGTAGGAAAGGCTCGCAGAGGTCCAGGGCACCTGAGCTGCGGGACTCGGGGGATGAGGGCGAGGGGGTGGGGCCTCGCATGCCCGAAGACATTGAAGAGCTGGTTCAGCACGCCGCGCCCGTGGACACGACATGATGTTTCTTCCTCGAATACGACGAACAGGGCCTCGCCAGGCAAGATGTCCAAGTTGTTAATGTTGACGTTAATAAGATCAAACCCATTCCTCGTGGGAAGATCCTATTTAACCACCGTTCGTTGTATGAGAACATTGTGAGAGGCATCGAGAGTGCCATAGAAAGCTCCATCGTGCCGACCCGGGGGTGTGGGATAGACCTGAGCTCGTTCTTGGGCCGGTTGACCCCAACGTCATCGTCGGGGGGCAGGGAAGGTGAATCACGCCGGACGAGTTCTTCCAAAGAGATTCTGCAGAGTTCGACTGGTACGCTGTCTGCGGTCAGCATATTGCCGAGGCCATGAAACGGTTGGTTGGAAAGGACTACCCCGCGGTCAAAGTCTACGGCCTCCGCACGTACTTTAAAGTGCGAGTCGTCTTTTTCGATGATGACCACACACGCGGGTACTTCAATGTCTCCCTCTTCGACAACACACGGGAGAATCGCACCATGATGTTATCCTTCCAGGACGATGTGCGTGATATGCGACAATGATGAATCAACAACAACAGGATCGAGGCACCCAAAGCTAAGGTCAGCGAGAAGGATGTCGTCGCCGTTGCGCATCAGAAAACGCGGCAGAACTTCCTGAGGGCCTGCATGGGGAAGGCTTGCGACAAGGCGTTCGTGAAACAGGCCCTCGACAACGAATACAGCAAGGATTGGAGTAACAAACTTCGGGGATACCTGAACCTTGCCACGTCCACCCGCACAGTTTGGCCGCTGGTAGAGAAGTTCTTCGCGATGTTCGAGGAGGGTAAGCTGCCAATCGGCGACGGCAAGATCCCACTTGAGATGCCGGGGAGGATGGAGGGGCGTCTGCCGGCCCGTACACTGACCAGAACAAGGGACAACGGACTTTGTACCACTGCATATATGCGAGACATGGTCCCAAGGGCTCCACTGTGTCCTGGAAGGATTTGTGTCCTACGTACTTCAAGAACTTCGAAGACATGACATGCCGCGAGAGAGAAGTCGCGCTACTCCTACTCATGTCGGGGAAAGTGGTGGCAACAAAAGTGAGAGTCACGCCTCTGAGGGTGAACACAGAGTGCCTCCTCGACATTATGCGCAAGGAGAGATACATGGTCCGCATGTTCAACTACGTCGTGTTTCGCACCGAGGGAAGGGCAGGGGATGAATGGAACGACGATTTCTTCATGTTGTACAAGGACCTAGAAGAGAGGTATGCTTCAAAGGAGTTATGCGCAGATGAATGGGAGAAGCAACGGGAGAAGCTGCATAGCAACTTAGTGAAGACGATCCCTCGGCGACTTGGAGGAGTGGAGGAGGCGAGGCAAGGTGCGGGCTTGGGGCCTACAGAAGCGATGTACAAGGAGGCTCCGTTTCACTTCAAGGTCTTTATATACACCACGATCGATAAGCTCGATATGCTTCGAGCGGAGGTGAAACGGATCGCCTCCAGTGCACGCCATCTTGCGTGGGACAAACTGGGCAGTCAGACCACATTGCTTCCTGTATGCATGCGGTCAAAGGAGGTTATGGAGGCGCCCGTCGACATCGTCGCAGCCTCACAAAAAATGGCATGCAGGACCGCCATTGTGGACATCTCGGAAGCGAATTTCAGAAGTACATGGACCTCGCAGGACTTCGATGCACTGTATGCAATAATGATGAAGTGTTGTGGTCCAAATTGGGTCCTCTTCTTCTTTGCACTGCAGAATGTGCAAAGCGATGTCTTGCGTCAATTGTACCGTTCAGAGGACATCGAGCTCATCCCCGGGTCATAGAAACGTGTGGACAGGCCGTCGAGCGACGTTACAAGGTAGGCAACATCGCTACGAGCAGTCGGGACCTGATGGCGATCTTGCTGCAGGCTGAAGGAGGGGATCTGAAAAAAGTAATTGTCGCACCCCGACTTCACAACGATCTCACCGAAGTGCATGTTGTGGAGGAAAAGTTCGAAAAGTGTCTCAGAAAACACGGTGGCGTCAAAGGCGACGAAAGTGCCGCATATTCAATTTGGGAGCGAGAACCTGGCAAGTTGCGGAAGTTGTGCGGTTCATTCGTAGGAGAGGCGGAAGGTGTGCTTTTACTGGGTAGGGCGCACGCGGGTCTTGTATGGAAGTTATTGCTTACAGGTAATAATGTCATTGCCTGTGACGAGTCGACCAAGGACATTGCATACTTGACAAAGTTTGTCGACATACTTGTTAAGGATGGGAGATTCGAGTGTCGCCTCGAGAAGCCGCGTGCCACACATCGCACGAACAGGGATATGTACCACAAGTTGGGACCGAAAAGACTGAAGGTGTGGGAATACCTGTTCCGCGATGCGTCGGATGGACGCCTTGATGAGGGATACATATATAGGAAAGCCAAGGTGACCGAGGCCCTCAAACATTATCATGGTGCTCTAACTGGTGCCTTTCAGACATTTATTGCTCGATGCGAGATCTTGAGGTTTGATCTTCACAAAGATAAACTGACGCTTATAAACTATGCGGACGTCGCTAAATCAGGTGAAGGCTTTAACCCCGTTGACAGCAAGGAAGACTCGTCGCACTCCGATCTCGAGATCGAAAAGGACACCAATGCAACATGGTGGTGTGGGAAGTCCGCTGCCATGGAGCACAGCGTCAAGGGATATGGACCAGGTCAATCAGAGGGATGCTCGAACCTGCCACCCGCGAACAGTGTGGCCTCGGGTGTGGACCGGGTTGTATGTACGCCTGTGGAAGACGACGAAGACAATGACCTCGATATTCCTGCTCAGCAAATGAAGTTGGCGTCAGGCGATCCGATTCCTCCCAGATTTTGTGCGGATGCAAACAATGTGTATTTCTTGGATGACAAATACGCCTGCATTAGTGAGGACAAGTGGGGCCATGATATCATTTGGCATGACGGCATTTTCGAGCCATGTATCCAAGGCGGGGAGTGGAAAATGGCGGTGAAGTATGTCTCAAAGGGTTGGAGACCGTTTCCCCGCATGGGAAAGGACAGCTGGCTGAAGACGACGGAGCAATCAATACTATACCGCTGTCAGAAAGAGAACCCCGGGGAGAGTGAAACATCCATCGCGGCAAAGGCGAAATAATTGTTCGACGCCTTGGGAGTCGCTCGGCAGTTAGAGTACTCACACAAGTTTTACGAGCTGCAGTCGAGCCCCTCGTACGACAAGATTGACTGGAAGGTTGAGCGCGCCGCCACGCTCGAGAACATGGACGTAGACTCCCGAGAAGATGTCGCCCCTGTGCTCGAGGCGGCCACAGGGAACACGATGGGTGAACAAAGGGAAGATGGCGGGACGACGTTCAGCGTGAAGCCTCTGTTGCCAAAGGCGGGAAACACGCCCGCAGGCGAAAACACCATCGGAGCCATCTCTATCGCAACAGGGGATACATCACAAGGTGAAAAAGTGTCACTCGACAAGCCGGCGGATGCGGGCGCCACATACGGGAGTCTCCTCGCGACAAATGCGACGCTGGGAGACACATCGGAGATGGTGTCAGAGTCCACTGCTGAGATGGGCGTCACGGGGATGTCGTTGCATCCGCCCACATGCACTCGCAAAGGTGACGTACACTGTACAACAACACCACAGGGAGTGGTCACAGGGGATGAAGGGAATAGGGGAAATGCAGGGGGGTCTCCACGTTCTCGCAACATTGAGGAAATGACAACAAACGATGAGGATGGGGTAAAAGGCGGAAAGGGCGTGAGCAATCCCACGCGTGCAGAAAATGAGGGGTGAGACAGGGAATGAACTTGAGGGGAATCCTCTTCGCGGGAAAATTTAATGTTCTCGTGTGTGTGCTCATTTGTTTGAAATCATGGTTTGTGGGCGGAATTTGTTCCTGTGTACAATCGACCTGCAGACTCATTAGTGTTCAATTTTCGGGATTTGACCTTTTAATTGTTGACAAGAAAATTGTGTGGTGAGTGCGTCGTAGTATGTATGTTTGTCTCTTTATATTCGTCAATATGCTGCGTTGTGTATATGCATGTATGTCGTTGGGGTACGGTGATGAAAGGGGCAGGAGTCAGGATTGATTAGTCCCGAAGTGTTGTCGTTCATCTAAGTGTAAGTTTAGCAAAACATTGATAACGTATCTTGAATACATCATTTCCGTTTAGCATCTTCTGCTAAGCCACTTGCCCATGTACAAGTATCTCAAATGGTCGCCCTCCCCGTTTCTCACACCGCCTGCTCACCCGTTTCTTACTTTCCTGTAAGGGCGACCATTGTTTACACCCCTGTCCGCCTTGGATACCGTTGTTTACACTGTCGTCGATGTCGTATTCGTCGTGCTTGTCGTGTGCAGTGCAAATTACAACAATGGATACAATAAAGTGCAAAAGAGGGTGGACAATGCGCCTCGCAACATCGTCTTTATCAGAGAAGGAGATAAAAGCACTCTCACATGTATGCCGAGAATACGGGAAAAGGTTCCCAATAGCGAGCACACAATCACGGGACGAACGAAGTATTGAAGCTAACTCGAGACGAATTTATTTTACTTGTCGACAAGCGGAACTGGTTAAATGACAACGTCGTCAACTTCTACCTGAACCTCATCGAACTAGATAACTGGTGTAGAATCACACACATAGAATGCGACGCCGAGAACGAAACCGTGATTAGAATCGGAAAGGGTCGCATTCCTAGAATATCAGTGTTGAGCTCGTTTTTCTTCGCCAGACTTTTCGACAGCGAAATGAGATATCAAGAGCGAGAGGTGCAGCACAGGTCGAATGACATTATAATAAGTGACATGGACTTGATAATTGCCCCTTTCCATATCGCACACACGAACCACTGGACCCTCGTTGTTGCTGACTTCAGGAGGAGGAAATTTGAATTTTACGACTCCCTCAGCCCCGACAAAGAACTGGTAGCCAAAGTGACTGGCGGATTTGCATAGTTTTTGTTTAAAAGATCGATTCAGCAAGGCAAAGAGGTGGTAACGAAACCGTTAATCACATATGGACCTTAGAGGGCGTTCCGAAACAACGTGACACTAGCTAGTGTGGGCTCTTCATGCTCGCATACGCATCGCTATTGGCAAGGGGTCACCTTCCGCCTTTCTCTTTCACCGCTGATGACATACCCGCAATACGTCGTCAAATGGCTTTGGACATAGTGGCTCGCGAGTAGTATGAACCTGCTGCTAGATATTGTGATTACATGCGGATGGATGTGGGTAACATTAAGATGTTTGTCATGGAAACAGTGTATAGAAAATGACAACCATTGCTGCAAATTCCTACCTCTTACCCCTTGTTTTTTACCCCTTATCCCTTACCCCCAAACCCCTTACCCCTTACCCCTTACCCCTTACCCTTGCATGTATACCCATACCCCAAATTCAAATACATTTTTGACCCTAAATCACCACGGAAATGACAATTTAAATTTCGTTCAAAAAATAAAAAATGTTCGTTTTGACGAAATTGTTGTTCTTGGATCTTCTTCCCCAAGATGGCTACAAGCATGTGGTCATAATGGACACCGCGATCACAGACAACAAGGGGTTACAACTGATGTTGGAAGCGGGACTCAATCACATCCCTATGAAGGCGTTGGATGTGGATGAAGCAATGCGGGAGCTAGAGGCCTTGCTGGATCACATCATAGACGAGTGTGAAGAATTTGCGGCTCTCTCGGACACAATCAGGCGGATACTAAGAAGACAAGTGGTGAAGAAGGCGAGGAGCAGAATGAAGAAAACGACGAGAGCACTAAGGCACGTGCAGGCATACCCTATCGAACAGATCAATGTCAAAAGGGAGCTCGAGTTTAGGACCTCCATGATCTTGGTCACCCCGACGGACAAGGCTGCGAATACGCCGACATTCGTCTGCACCAACTTCATCAGAAAGTTGGCGTTGGACAGACTCTCCGGACCAGAATTCCAAATCATGGAGCAGGAGTCTGCCTATCATACACAACGAATCAAAGGAGAGCTCACAGTCATCAGCGCTCTACCAGCCGGAAGATCGACACTACCATACCTAATGACAGTCTATAAGCCACACAAATCCAAGTTCCGATGGATCACCAACACCGCCAGCACAGTTATCTTGCTAGCAACCGACCTCTGTGCATGCGTCCTTAAGTTCCTGACGCCGGAAGTACAAAGCTTCTGTGCTGAGAAGAGTGAATAGGTCAGGATCGAACATGGGGTCAAGCCGAATCTATGGTGGCCGATCTCATCGATAGGGGAATACGCGGCGAATCTTCTGAAAACCATCCACTCAGTGTTCACGGTGGATATCACAAGGTGCTTCGAAACGATCCCCACCAACGGATCGGAACACAGCCTTACGGTGGCGGTCAAGTTCTTTGTGCAATGTCTCATGGAGTATAGGAGAGACAGAAGCACCAATGATGTCATAAGAATCAGGGTGAGCAGCGGAGGCAAGTTGTTTCCCTCTTGGACCAGCAATGAGTACCAGGTGACTGAGGACGAAATCACCTTTGATGACCAGGATGTAATTTGGATCACTGAATGGTGCATCGCCAATAGTCTGATCCAGCTGGGTGACTGCGTCTGGAAGCAGATTCTGTGCATTCCAATGGGATTGGTGTGCTCACCCATCTGGTGTGACATCTACTTTTTCAAGTACGAGTACCAGGCCATAATGAGGCTGGTGGACATTGGCAACACCTACCTTCTTCACTGCTTCCATCACACAACCAGCTACATAGAAGACCTCAGCGCCCTCAACAACGCGGTCATCAAGGACTTCCTGAGCATCGAAGACAAAGCAAGCAACGATCCCTGCTGGGTATACCCCAAGGACTTCATCGAGATCAAAGAGAACACGAAAGTGGTGGTTGAGGGGCAAGGAAGGGTTGTTAATTTCCTGAACCTCACAATAACAATCGAATCACCCCTCAGGGGAGAATTCTGCACAACGAAGCACAACAAGCTCACTGGGTTAGGTTTCACGCCCAACAGATTCATGAAATTCAAATCAAATCGCAACATAGCACAGTCACTGCAAATCATCACAACACAAGCCGCGCTGATACTGCTCCAAACCAAATGACGCCGCGCAAGAAATCGGCAAGCTAGTTACAAACATGGTGAGAAACGGCTTCCCCGAAAGGGATTGCTGGGACACAGTCTCACTGTTTTTCAGCAAAATCCACCTGTTCCAACCAGGGCTTGTCTCTGCGCATCAGGTAAGGGAGATCCTAGAACAAAACTATGACTGGATCTAACCTTGTGCAGTGTATGTGGTTGGAATGATGTGTGGCGTCCGGGGGGCTGCGGGCCGATTGGCAACAGCTCCCCGCGGCTCTTGGCCTTCCGACCCCTAGGTCCCCCCGGAGGGACTAGGGCGGGGCACACACACACACACACATACACACACACACACACACACACACACACACACACACACACACAAACACGCAGAAACAAGGGAAGAAAACAGGAAGAAGAAGAAACGAAGAAATAAGGGCACAGAGGCAATCCGGGGGAACCTGCAAGAAAAACACAGCAGGTAAGTCCCCCGACTCGAACCCATAATCACATTTTTCTTTTTCTCGCCACTTTTCTTCTT